TTTTTTTTTTTTTTTTTTTTTTTTTAATAGCCTCATATCCTTTCATTGAGTATCTTGTTTGTAGAATCAGTTAAACTTTTCATGACTCATCTGATTCCTGCATTGGTTTCAACAATCTTCCCCTGCCATTTCTTGTGCTTAGAATACAGTTTTCAAGCAATCTTCATTAAAAACTGGGCTCGGGAAGGAAGTCTCCCTTAGCAGACAGAGAAGATTCTTAAGGGTGCTAGAGTAAAATTGGGCCAGTCTAGACTTTCCTGTTACAGTTTGCAGGGGAGACTCCAACATCACGAAGCTTCAGTTTTCTCACTGTCGCGCACTGAGTACGTGCCTTGCGTTATGCTAGGCGCTTTCCTTGTGCAATTTCTCCTAATCCTCAAAACACCAGTTCCACTTGGAATACTTTATTTGAAGAAAGGAGAAACTGAAGCATAGAAATTTGTCCAAGTTCTCACAGCCAGTTGATAAGAGCCAAATCCAGCATTCTATGTATGTATTTGCATTTGGACAGATCTTTGGAGGGAGAAGGAAGATGGGTTTGAGGAAGACAAGACTGGAGGCAGAGGGACAGTTACTGGGTTGTTGCTGGGAGATACGAGCAAGTACTAAAGTCATTGATGGTGGAACAGGTCTGGATCTGAGGGCTATTCGAGACATAAAATTGCCAGGATCTGGTGATGCGTTGGCAGTAAAGGGGGAGCGAGGAGTCAAGGGTGGCTCCCGTGTTTCTGGCTTGGATGACCTGGTGGATAGCATCACTGGCACCTTGGGGGGCGGACTGCCAATGGAAGAGGCAGTATGGGTCAGTGGTTAAGAGCACGGATTCTGGCACCTGTTTCCTCCACCCCAGCTCTGCCGCTGACTGGTTCTGGGACTTGGGTGAGTTACTTACCTCCCTGTGCCTCGGCTTCTTCTTTGTAAAATGGAGACAGTAATGGTACCTGCCTCATAGCATTGTTAGAGAACTAAGCGAATTGATGCCTTGTTCAGTGTGTAAACAATGCCTGGCATAGAGGAGGTGCTATGTAAGAACTTGGTATTATTATTGTTGTTATTCTTGTATGATAAGAGGAATTCAGTTTGGGTCATTTCAAGTTTGAAGTCTCTTTCAGATATCCAGACAGAGTGAGTACTCGAAGTTAGAGACTAGAAACAGGTTTTATTGTCATTTGGAAGCCACATGAGACCGTGTGGTCCTCTAAGGAAGGGGACAGAGCACCATATTTGAAGAGTGGGCAGTAGAGGAGAAGTCAGGGCATAAGGAGAGCAAAGTGGAGAACCGAGGAGTGTTTCCATGGAAACGAAAGATAAAGAAAGTGCTAAAAGAAAAAAAAGGAATGGTCAGAGGGTCAGGTGTCAGTAGAGACCTCAAGAGTTTATTTATTTTTTATATATTTTTAAGTTTATTTATTGAGAGAGAGAAAGCGAACAGGGGAGAGGCAGAGAGAGGGGGGAATCCCAAGCAGGCTCCACACTGTCAGTGCAGAGCTTTACATAGAGCTTGAACTCACAAACCATGAGATCATGACCAGAGCTGAAATCAAGAGTCAGAGGCTCAACTGACTGAGCCACCCAGTTACCCGCCTCAAGAGTTTAGATCTGAACACTGTAAATTGGATTTGTCATTGGTGACCTTTTGCAAAAGCCATTTCCATGGCCCTTATCTTGGGGGCTTGGCTTATGCTTCCTTCTCACAGGCTAAACCCTGTGCTATTTCTCTTCCTTCTGATACTTTTATCAGGATACATTTGCATGTCCTTTGTGTCCATCTCTAAAGTGTGGTGTGTGATTGATCTTTTTTTCTTTTAATATTTATCTTAGAGAGAGAGAGAGAGAGAGAGAGAGAGAGAACAAGCAGGGAAGGGGCAGAGAGAGAGGGAAACAGAGGATCCAAAGAAGGCTCTGCACTGACAGCAGAGAGTCCGATATGGGGCTCAAACTCACGAACTGTGAACTCATCACCTAAGCTGAAGTTGGACACTTAACCCACTGAGCTACCTAGGTGCCCCTGTGACATACTATTTGGTATGTCAGCTGTCAGAGCCATAAAATCAGGTGTGTGTGAGATTTCAAGTTTAAAGGGAAAGTTGGGATGTCTCCAAAGATATAGCCAGTAACTGTGAGAAACTCTGTGGACCCCCAATTCCAGCTATTTGATATGAGGGTGCTTTGCTGGCCTTCTCCTTGGGGTTCAGGAATCATTAGGATCATAAAGCCGTGAGGGTAGGGAGGTAGTCTTCTCTGGAGAGCCACATGCATCCAGCCTTGTGACAATTATACCTGAAGATGTGAATCCATTCCTGTTATTTCAGAACTCAGTGGGAAGTTGGCATTCCCAAACTAGTTTGTCTGGACTCAGAAAACCTGTATATCTGCTGCTCATGTTTTATGTTAATTGTGTAACTTTCTAGTGATTGTTAAGGTATACTAAATATTCAGATATAGTTTTCTTTGGCTTGGAGTCAAGCTAGAGTATACTAAATTTAACTGTAATGTGGTTTACCTTTAAAATGTGATAGTGGGGCGCCTGGGTGGCGCAGTCGGTTAAGCGTCCTACTTCAGCCAGGTCACGATCTCGCGGTCCGTGAGTTCGAGCCCCGCGTCGGGCTCTGGGCTGATGGCTCGGAGCCTGGAGCCTGTTTCCGATTCTGTGTCTCCCTCTCTCTCTGCCCCTCCCCCGTTCATGCTCGGTCTCTCTCTGTCCCCCAAAAAATAAAATAAACGTTGAAAAAAAAAATTTAAAAAAAAAAATAAATAAAATAAAATGTGATAGTTTCCTATTACCTATGTGTATGTGTTTATAGGTATTGAGACCAAAAGAAAGATTTTTTCAAAACCTCTTTGCTTTATTTTTAACTTTTTATGCTGACAGTTAAAAAA